CTCCGAACCCTTCTCCTCCTCTCCTCTCCTGCCCCCTCCTCCCCTCCGCTACTCAAACACCTTCTCCTACCTCCTGCCTTCGCCTCCGCTCCTCAAATTCCCCCTACTCCTCCTCCTCTCTCCTCCTCGACCCCTCTTCCTGCTCCTCCCCTACTCAACACCTCCTCATGTCTCACTCCCCACTCACACCTTATCCTCCTCCTCTTCCCCTCCTCCTTCTCCTCCCTTACTCAAAAACCTCCTCCTCCTCCCTACTCAAACACCCTTAATCGCTCGCTCCATCCTCTCTTCTACTCAACACCTTCTCCTCTCCTCCTGCCTCCTCACCCTCTCCTCCTCCTCCTCCTCCTCCCTACTCCAACACCTTCTCCTCCTCCTCCTCCTCCTCCTCCTCCTCCTCCTCCTCCTCCTCACATTATTATTAACATTATTATTAACATTATCAGGAGTAGAGTTTATGAGCGTCCAGTTTCGGGCGAGCGTCCAAATACGCTCGTAGTAGACTACTGCGCATATTGCGCATGCGCTGTGTGCGCCCTTGCGCGCATGCGCACTTAGGAGCGTCCAGTTTCGGGCGAGCGTCCAAATACGCCGGTACAGCCCCACCACAAGCAAACCAGTAAAATAAAAAAAACACACCTGCACCTCAGTCTTGATAGACTGGATATCGCCGCTATGCTTATTACTGAAGATAAGTCTAAACAATGAAATTTTAAACTTTTTACCACAATATAATACAACATAACCTACAACTTACAAGGAAACTTTTGTTGGTGCTGAGAGAGTGCTATTGCGCATGCACTAAAGTTAGGCGAGCCCAGAATATTGAATACATTATCCTCGTTCCGGGCCACCGAGGTATGCCAAGTAGATTTATAGTATACATGTACAAACACATATGTTTGTATAATGTATTATATCAGAAGTAAATATAATCATAATTCACTCCTGTCTGTGGTCATTGATATGTATTATGTACAGTCTATGGTTCAATAGTTGTAACTCCCGCCCAAGGCCCGCCCCACTCAGCTGCAGTTATGCGCATGCGTACACTCACAACCCGAACTGTTTTCGCCGGCGGCAGTGAACGTCAATGCAGCGCTACCGATTTTATCAATAAACGCACGTTTCCGACGCTCTAGCTTACGTTAGCTCATGGTTAGCTCGCAAATCATTACAACGAGAACAGTAATAGTAGCGGAGCTAACAGGTAAGTCAGTACATTTACTTGTTTCCTAATATGGCGGTGTTGGTAACGTAGCAAAAACTAAAGGCTTAGCTGCAGACTGTATCATCATGCGGCGTCACACATGCGCGATATCGGATATGTGCGTACAGGCACTTGGAGCGTTTCAATAAAACATAATGCTAAATAAATACAAAAACTATTTACTATCAAAGTCTTAATGTTTCTCTACTCTATTTCGTCTATAATTACCTGTAAATGCCGTCCAAATGCTCATCTGCAACACACGCTGGCCGCCGCACGCTATCTGCTAGATACAATAATGGCATTAATTTAATCAGATTAATGTAACCCAAACCCAAGAGGATAGGGTTACAAAGCCTCCCTATCCTTTTGTACAGAGGAATGCCCGAGTGAATCCCTCGGGCCGGTTT